AAATGAACGGCGTATGATAAAATGGACAAACACCAGTTAATCAATTTTACACGAGACATGAAAAACAATTCACAATTGTCGTCGGATGGATTGAGACAGTTAGAAATTAATTTCAGCAAGACTAGTGTAAAGAAAGAGCGACCAACCAAGGAGCATGTTGACAATAATTAATGTTAAATCTAAGACATACAATTTTCTTTTTTTTAAGGAATGAGGGGGTACAGCGAATGGATCCTTAAGGACTATTTATTTTACATGGCATTATGCTAACCGGACGGTATATTTATACTATCTTTTTTTTTCTGAATTGGGCATGTCGATAATTCTCTCCCATGAACATGGGTGAGTCTGGTCTGCTCGAATGATGAGCTGTAATTCATGATCCGAGACCAGTACAATTTTCTTGAAATTGTCCTATAGAGTGCACTTATGACAGTCACACAAAGTTTATCCGCAAAATTAATCCCGGTGTTGAATAAAAAGGATTATTAAAAGGTGCAAAGGTATATCAGGCGAGAAGAAATTGCTAAAACAAAATCACACATTATTCAATTCGGTTAGGGATCAGTTGTGGATATAGAAGTGAAAATGTGAAAACGAAGGGCATTAATAGTTCAAAAGCATTGCACTGCGGCGAGTATATTGAATATTTTGTGTAAATTGCTTATTGCATTTCCCCGTGATTATCAAGTGCACCGTTTGTAAAGTACCCACTTAACGATTTTTTTTTCTGATTTTGCTATACTAAATTAAGACACAATTTTGGAACTATACCTTATAGAGAAGTACTCTGTTTCTCGGGAAACGCGTATGGTTCTCTGCTGTTTTTGGTAGGCGACAAAAGATATCCAAACAGATATCCAGTTTTGACACCCTAAACAAGACAACAGATTGTTTGAAAACCCAAGAACATGTACAGTGCAGAAAATTAAAAAAACTTATCATACTCTTTAAAGTAAAGGTTGAACACACTATCGGAGAATTAAAAAAATACAAAGTTACGAGGATTTTAGGTGATAGCCCATACAGATTCAAATTAGAAGTGTAATACAATTAATGTATAAGTGTGAAAACTTTATTCCCTGTACGACTATAATACACTTCATTCTCGTTCATGTATAGTGATTTTAGACGGGTTTACTTATTTGTTTAAGTATTTTGTTTGCTAACATGGCCCAATATTTCAGAAATAAGAAGTGACGGGAACACCAATTAGTCTTTCTGGTCAGGGAAATTTAATTAAAATGTTTTAATAAAATATTAAAGATTGAAAAAGTAGACTCGACAAAACAATTGTAAAAATTCAGGGTGGAGGTCGCTCTGATCGTCGTCTTGCAGTTTATTGTTACTTAGGTAATTTATGAAGAACGATTGTGGAAAATGTTCACATCCCATACCCGAAATTATTTAAATATTCTTTTACTTTTAATAATTTCATAATTATCTAGAAAAAAAGTAAATAGAAAGTTTATGTTTTGCTTTCGTTTGATGGTCCGCCATCGTACTGGAAATTAGTTATTAAAGAGTCGAAGCAATTTTTGCCGGGGTAGTTTAGACACAGTGTTAACCGCGAGGTATTATCATTACATAATTCAGATCAAGATATAACATGATGAATCGAGTGACCCGACCTGCTCATATGTGTTGTTTATTTGTCTTTATTTTAATATTTTGTATGAATTGTATATGCGTATAATAAAATTCCATAATTATTGCGCGCAAGTTAGGGTAATCTTTTTTTCTTTGTGATTTGTGAAATTACAATTGAGACATCAGATATTAGCAGTAACGATTTCGTTTGACATGATTGCGTATAAAGCCACTCTTAATTATAAAGAATTTAATTGTGTGCTAATGTCAAAGATTTCAGTCTCGTACTATTTAAATCAATTGTATCTATAGAAGATCTTCACACACACTCTCGGTATGCTCTTAATTAATGACAAACTTTGTTGCACTTGGCTTCCATTATAATTTCAACAGGTCAACGGAAATTTGCATGAAACGCCGTAATGTTTGACAATTAATTAGCAGTTCAATATGGTGTATAAACACAAATGAAATAAACATTTTATAAATTTAGTGCGTGTTTGTATATAAATATCAACAATTAATGAGCTCTAATAACTATATTGTACTTGAAAAACTATGTAGATTTATAAAAATTATAAATGTGAGGGTCACTCCTCCTGGTTAGTTTGTAATTTAATGTTTATGTCTGTATTGTTCACATGTGCTTTAATATTTAATGTAATTGTTAATACATATATATTCATGATGAACAATGTCTGTATTGTTCACATGTGCTTTAATATTTAATGTAATTGTTAATACATATATATTCTCTGTAACTATGTAATTTGTAGTTAATGAGTAATAAAATTCATTCATTTGTTGATATACCTTCACCAGGAACGCTCCAACTTAAACATTTTAAGAAAGTTCGCTGCTCAGTTTCAAGCTTTTCATAACACTAGTATATATTGATAGGGGATTAATAAAGGAACAAAAAGAGCAAAAATAAAATAAAGGTCAATGTGCTTGTTTTCGAGATATTAGCCATTGAAATTTTGGCGGGAAAATATCCTCTCTTGATTTTTCATAGCTTTATTATTGACAAGTTAAAGTTCTCAAAAACTTTTAAAAAATAATTAAGATTTTATAAGACTTTTACAGATGGCTTATAATTATACATATAAAAGATTAAAAAAAAAAATAGGGTCAATGGGCAAATTTTTTTAAGGCATTCAAATAGATAAAAACCAGAGGATTCCGAAAATCTGACAAAAAATTCCAAAACATGACAAACGAACTTCCTTAAAGCCAGGAAAGCGTAAAAACGTTGCAACGTTAGGAGGTATATGACCAAATTGGACCTTAGCAGAATAGAAAAATTCATCTTATGTTCACTTTTCCTTGGAGAGTTGTAACTTAGTTTCTTTATTGTTGTATTATTGATTCAAGATATAAGTTTGGCTGTATTAAATGTTACATTTAGAAATGACGCATTTTTTAATGCTTCTCTGCGGTTCTCTGACTGTTCGACTTTAGGTTTTAGATGTATATATATTTTTTTTTAATCACATGGTTTAATTACTTGCAAACAAATACACCTTTTTTTTATATGAAAATCATTTTCAGTATATCTTCGATCTTGGTTTTACGCAGATTAGAAAATTATATTTAGTTTACTTGAAAACCAAGGCTAATTGTAAATTGCACAAATATTAAATAATATTAATATCATAAACAAACATTCATGAAGAAAATGCTTCTACTGATTTAAACAAAAATACTGGAGTTAATGATTAACAGCGCATATACATATAAAAGTAGTTCTCTTTCTTTTCGAGTTATGTACATAAATCCTCAGAACGACATTGAATCGGGATAATATTTAATTATTCCATTATTATTGTGTTAAACTCATTGTAAAAGAAAAACGTATTAAAGCACTACACCAGGGAGTCGAATTGTCTTTCCCTATTCCAACGATGCACTTGGTCCGAGGACACAGTTATCTACCTTCAATTTTCGTTGTCCACAAATGTAGTTCCCTTTAATTTCAGTGTTTTTTTTCTTATTTTTTTTCTTTGTCTTTTTTTGGAATTTTTCATTATTTGTTTTGCATTTAGGTGAAAGATAAGACTTCAAATATACTGTCTGGAAAAAATCTTTTTGAAATTTTCTGTAGAAATGAGTGATTTGGTCAGGTAAATAAAGGTGGAATTTCCTCTTCTCGGAAGCTCTCTGGCTTCATCCTTACCGGTGTCCTTATGTTTGGGGTTACCAGGAGAGAATGAGCTGGTAGACTTTTCTGAATTTTTGATATGTTTTGGGATAAAAGTCAAACTTTATGCACACCAAATCTTTTTAGAATAGAGCAGGTGGAATTTTTTTTAATTGCCATTATGTTTTAATAGACAAATAGGGGAAAATAACTGTGTTCTCGGGCCTAAGAGGCTGAACCCACTGTACCCCAAAATGGACATTTTGGTCCCCTGATTTGCACAATTTGCCTCAAAATTGAAATGTAAAGATATTTCATTGTTAATTTATAGTAAATAATTGGAAAATATTTTTAAATGCCAAAAAAATCCTATTTTGCCATATTTTTGGATTGTTATTTATATGTTGAAACTTTTGGGGCAAATCTCAAAACAGGGGCTCATAATTTTTCTATTTTGAGCAAATTCCTACTCATTCTGATAAGAAATAGTTCTTTAAAGTTTAAATGGAGGGATTTATTCAAAAATACTTAGCAAAATTACAAGAAAAATCTGCCCCTGGCCAAAATGGGCACTGTCTGATTTGGACAGGGACTTGTACGCCTAATGGCAAATATGGGGTGATAAATTTCAAGCATCCCAATGCCGGCGGGTGGAGACAAATACATGTGCACAGACTTGCGTACATGATAAGGCATCTAAATTTTCATTTACCTAATTTTGATGTCTCGCATCTGTGCCACAACTCAAAATGCATTAATGTTGATCATCTGGTGTTGGAGCCACACGGCTTCAACAACAGTAGAAAAACTTGCATTTCATGTGGCCATTGCTTGGGTCACCCAGCTCCATTGCCACCTTGCAAGTTGGACTTAAAGATGGCAAACAATAACCTTGGTATTATTCATGTTTTAGGATTTACAAATTAAATATTTACTTTATTTTATTTTATTGATGTAAACAACAATTTCAGATATCTTTTTGAAAGATTTGGGTGGTCCTTAAAAGGACCTTTGGTTGAGTTACTGTGTTGCTGGGTTGCTGTCTCATCTATGGTGCTGGTGGTAGTTTTCTCTTGCAGTAGGTACTATGGCTAAGTAAGGCAGGCACTGGGTCCAACTGCCCTTTTCTGTAGACATCGCGCTCTTTACTTTTTACCTTGGCCTCTCTATGTTCTACTATTTTTTCACCACTCTGTGTGAGACGTCTACGTTTAACTTCAGGTTTTTTTTCATACTCTCGCTTGTAGGTAAACTGTTTATCCATACTGTCGAGGAACTTTAAACTGGAATCAGATAAATTAACCCCCAGATGTTCACACTTTTGCTTTGCTGAGGTTCCTGGCATGTTGTTGTTTCTGTGAATTCCAGATGCTAATCTGGCCTCCATGCCTCTTGAGAAGATTACATTCTTGGGTAAATTCACACTCAAGGATCTGTGCACAGCTTCATTCTTGTTTGTTGTGTTGTAAAGCTTCATACTACTAATCGCATCTTCACTAAGCTTCATTTTCAAGATCTCTTGCAGTAACAACTTGTCTTTTTCGTCCATTTGCAGGATAGTAATGTTATAGCAGCCAAGATACTTGGAGCGGGTCCACCAGTTGTAGCTCTCATCACCTGCACATACCACTGAGTGCTGTTTACACATGGAGCAGTCACCATCATAACACCTGATTGTCGCCTGCAGAGCCTTGGGTAAGTCTTTACATACGTCATCTGTATTTCTTTTGTACTGTTCCATTAGCTGTCCCACTATCATCGAACTCCTACATTTGACATCTTGACTAAAAGCTTTCTTCATTTCTTTCTTTATCTCTTTTGTACGCCCATAGAACATGCCTTCGCTGAACTGAGCTCTCAGGGATGCTCGGAACTGTGACTGGCCAAGGTGGACATAGTCAGCTAGCCTTTCGACCTTCCACATGGGATGTAGGGCTCTGGTTGCGTCATCTATCCCTTTGGCAGCCCGTCCGTCTCCATCTGTTGTGGCATTCTTTACAAGGATGTCTTGAAGTGCCAGCTGTGAACCAATTTCTTTACCCATCTGGTACTCTGACACTGGAGCTGCTCTGTATAAGTTTGCAGTGCAGTCTTCGTGGCCATTGGGACAATTAACATCGAAACCTTTCCCCCTCAGCCAGGCTCCTTTCCAGCACATCTGATTTTGGGCAAATGATGCAACAATATATTGCCTCTCTGTCATTTTCTCAATGGCAAGTGTGAAAGCTTGGGTGGCATTCAGTCCCGGTTTCTTGCGGCTGGTAATGGTCTGACTGTTGTACCTTCCGTCGACTGTAACATTAATCACATTTTCTGGTAGCCCCCTCTCTCGATTTACTGACTTAACAATCTCAAGTTTTTCTGACATGTCTGTCCTGTTAAGTTTTACTAGCTCCTTTCCAACATTATGTGACATTCTCTGCATGCTTGTTCTGGATGGAGGAGGACAGTTCATTCTAGCAAACAGCTCCTGGAACTTTGTACTACCAATGGGACAGTCATGTAGGACTGCAGCTACTGCAACATTGGGTGCTCCAGGGTTGGTACCAGGTTTATTGGTGACAACTTCTTTGTATAACTTTATAACTGGGCTCATGTAGGTGCAGTTCTTACATCTAAGGGTATATTTCCAGCAAACTCCCCATTTAACTTGTCTGTGTGCCAGTATTTCTGGATTTTTGCAGTACTTGAATTCTTTTGTGTGAGCCTTTATAACAATGTTCAGCATCTTCATCATCTCTTCATGATCGACGAACCTCATACCAGAAAGTGAACTCCAATCTTCTTCTTCTGTTTTCAGGTCATAGGATGATACCAGTAGCTGGGAACGAGTCTTTATGCCATCATTGTGTACAGCTGAAGTAGAAGTGATTGTAGGTTCATCTTTAATGTCCTTCTGTTCAACATTCATTTCAACAACAGGAGCATTATTGATATCTTGGTCTGGTGTAGTGGACAACTCTAGTACAGGGACAGGAACAGGAACATTCCATGGAATTCTGCCATTCTGGAATCTACACACAGGTGCAACTCTCCTTCTCTGCAGCCGTCCAGCTAAGCCTTTGTTGAATGGCCAGTAACCTTTTGGATACATGTTGAGACAAATATTTTGGTGGTGCAGTGTAAAGCGTCGAAAGAAACTTGGATGACAGACCATAGAAGTGTTAGTTTTTATACTTTTTGTCATTATGTAACTTTTGATTCAGATTTTTAATTGGCTAAGTGATGATGTCAATCAATTCTGTGGATTCTTTTGATCTATTTTTAGCTGCAGATTAAAGAAATGACCAACTCTGGCTTCAAAGGGTTTGGTCCAGTTCAAACAAAATTCCTTATTTTGGCCTTTATTTGTGAAATAAAAGTTCTTTTCCTATTCAGATTTTACAAACGTTAATTTTCCAAATTTTAGAAAGTTGTTTTGCCATTGAAAAGTGATTTTGTAATTTATTGTTAATTTTTTGGTTCTATTTTTGTTTGATTTTGAAAAAAAAAAAAAAATTCTAAAAATCTGTTGAATTTTTTACTTTTTTTAATTGAAATGAATTTTTGGCATCTTAACCTTTCCAAAACACTTTATTTCATCTCAAAATTGCAAAAAATAAGGATTTTACAGCATTTTAAAGTTTTTATGACATCTTGATTTTGCCTTTGGCAGATGGTGTAAAGGGGGTGTTGAATATACAGGTAAATAAGCCAAAAGTTTATTCAAGACCCCCATAAAGTTAAATTTTGTGTATTGTAGTATGACTGTAGAATTTTTTAATGCAATTCTGAAAACTGTAGGTTGAGTTTTGAAATTTTCATTGATTTTTTTAAATATTCTGGTTTGGAATTTTCGTGATTTGAAATGAATTTAGAAAAATAACCTTAGTTACACAATAATGCGTTCTAATTTTGGAAAATTTTATCAATGATTAAATTTTATCAATGTTTCTACTTTAACAAACACTTTAGTTTTTCGTAAAAATTGCACTAATAAAAAAGTTATGAGCGTTTGAATAAAGATGGTATTTTGAGGAAATTGAAAATTCCATACCAGAAAAATGATAAAATTTGGGTGTGAAGGTAGGGGTGCAAGAAATGCATTTGCTGGTGCATGCATTGTCTGATTGGTCTGAAATTTGGTATGTAGTCTTGATATATATTAAAGTTAATGTATGTAAAATTTTATTTCATTTGGACTACTGGAAGGGTCCTATTAGGTCCGAGGACACAGTTATCTACCTTCAATTTTCGTTGTCCACAAATGTAGTTCCCTTTAATTTCAGTGTTTTTTTTCTTATTTTTTTTCTTTGTCTTTTTTTGGAATTTTTCATTATTTGTTTTGCATTTAGGTGAAAGATAAGACTTCAAATATACTGTCTGGAAAAAATCTTTTTGAAATTTTCTGTAGAAATGAGTGATTTGGTCAGGTAAATAAAGGTGGAATTTCCTCTTCTCGGAAGCTCTCTGGCTTCATCCTTACCGGTGTCCTTATGTTTGGGGTTACCAGGAGAGAATGAGCTGGTAGACTTTTCTGAATTTTTGATATGTTTTGGGATAAAAGTCAAACTTTATGCACACCAAATCTTTTTAGAATAGAGCAGGTGGAATTTTTTTTAATTGCCATTATGTTTTAATAGACAAATAGGGGAAAATAACTGTGTTCTCGGGCCTAAGAGGCTGAACCCACTGTACCCCAAAATGGACATTTTGGTCCCCTGATTTGCACAATTTGCCTCAAAATTGAAATGTAAAGATATTTCATTGTTAATTTATAGTAAATAATTGGAAAATATTTTTAAATGCCAAAAAAATCCTATTTTGCCATATTTTTGGATTGTTATTTATATGTTGAAACTTTTGGGGCAAATCTCAAAACAGGGGCTCATAATTTTTCTATTTTGAGCAAATTCCTACTCATTCTGATAAGAAATAGTTCTTTAAAGTTTAAATGGAGGGATTTATTCAAAAATACTTAGCAAAATTACAAGAAAAATCTGCCCCTGGCCAAAATGGGCACTGTCTGATTTGGACAGGGACTTGTACGCCTAATGGCAAATATGGGGTGATAAATTTCAAGCATCCCAATGCCGGCGGGTGGAGACAAATACATGTGCACAGACTTGCGTACATGATAAGGCATCTAAATTTTCATTTACCTAATTTTGATGTCTCGCATCTGTGCCACAACTCAAAATGCATTAATGTTGATCATCTGGTGTTGGAGCCACACGGCTTCAACAACAGTAGAAAAACTTGCATTTCATGTGGCCATTGCTTGGGTCACCCAGCTCCATTGCCACCTTGCAAGTTGGACTTAAAGATGGCAAACAATAACCTTGGTATTATTCATGTTTTAGGATTTACAAATTAAATATTTACTTTATTTTATTTTATTGATGTAAACAACAATTTCAGATATCTTTTTGAAAGATTTGGGTGGTCCTTAAAAGGACCTTTGGTTGAGTTACTGTGTTGCTGGGTTGCTGTCTCATCTATGGTGCTGGTGGTAGTTTTCTCTTGCAGTAGGTACTATGGCTAAGTAAGGCAGGCACTGGGTCCAACTGCCCTTTTCTGTAGACATCGCGCTCTTTACTTTTTACCTTGGCCTCTCTATGTTCTACTATTTTTTCACCACTCTGTGTGAGACGTCTACGTTTAACTTCAGGTTTTTTTTCATACTCTCGCTTGTAGGTAAACTGTTTATCCATACTGTCGAGGAACTTTAAACTGGAATCAGATAAATTAACCCCCAGATGTTCACACTTTTGCTTTGCTGAGGTTCCTGGCATGTTGTTGTTTCTGTGAATTCCAGATGCTAATCTGGCCTCCATGCCTCTTGAGAAGATTACATTCTTGGGTAAATTCACACTCAAGGATCTGTGCACAGCTTCATTCTTGTTTGTTGTGTTGTAAAGCTTCATACTACTAATCGCATCTTCACTAAGCTTCATTTTCAAGATCTCTTGCAGTAACAACTTGTCTTTTTCGTCCATTTGCAGGATAGTAATGTTATAGCAGCCAAGATACTTGGAGCGGGTCCACCAGTTGTAGCTCTCATCACCTGCACATACCACTGAGTGCTGTTTACACATGGAGCAGTCACCATCATAACACCTGATTGTCGCCTGCAGAGCCTTGGGTAAGTCTTTACATACGTCATCTGTATTTCTTTTGTACTGTTCCATTAGCTGTCCCACTATCATCGAACTCCTACATTTGACATCTTGACTAAAAGCTTTCTTCATTTCTTTCTTTATCTCTTTTGTACGCCCATAGAACATGCCTTCGCTGAACTGAGCTCTCAGGGATGCTCGGAACTGTGACTGGCCAAGGTGGACATAGTCAGCTAGCCTTTCGACCTTCCACATGGGATGTAGGGCTCTGGTTGCGTCATCTATCCCTTTGGCAGCCCGTCCGTCTCCATCTGTTGTGGCATTCTTTACAAGGATGTCTTGAAGTGCCAGCTGTGAACCAATTTCTTTACCCATCTGGTACTCTGACACTGGAGCTGCTCTGTATAAGTTTGCAGTGCAGTCTTCGTGGCCATTGGGACAATTAACATCGAAACCTTTCCCCCTCAGCCAGGCTCCTTTCCAGCACATCTGATTTTGGGCAAATGATGCAACAATATATTGCCTCTCTGTCATTTTCTCAATGGCAAGTGTGAAAGCTTGGGTGGCATTCAGTCCCGGTTTCTTGCGGCTGGTAATGGTCTGACTGTTGTACCTTCCGTCGACTGTAACATTAATCACATTTTCTGGTAGCCCCCTCTCTCGATTTACTGACTTAACAATCTCAAGTTTTTCTGACATGTCTGTCCTGTTAAGTTTTACTAGCTCCTTTCCAACATTATGTGACATTCTCTGCATGCTTGTTCTGGATGGAGGAGGACAGTTCATTCTAGCAAACAGCTCCTGGAACTTTGTACTACCAATGGGACAGTCATGTAGGACTGCAGCTACTGCAACATTGGGTGCTCCAGGGTTGGTACCAGGTTTATTGGTGACAACTTCTTTGTATAACTTTATAACTGGGCTCATGTAGGTGCAGTTCTTACATCTAAGGGTATATTTCCAGCAAACTCCCCATTTAACTTGTCTGTGTGCCAGTATTTCTGGATTTTTGCAGTACTTGAATTCTTTTGTGTGAGCCTTTATAACAATGTTCAGCATCTTCATCATCTCTTCATGATCGACGAACCTCATACCAGAAAGTGAACTCCAATCTTCTTCTTCTGTTTTCAGGTCATAGGATGATACCAGTAGCTGGGAACGAGTCTTTATGCCATCATTGTGTACAGCTGAAGTAGAAGTGATTGTAGGTTCATCTTTAATGTCCTTCTGTTCAACATTCATTTCAACAACAGGAGCATTATTGATATCTTGGTCTGGTGTAGTGGACAACTCTAGTACAGGGACAGGAACAGGAACATTCCATGGAATTCTGCCATTCTGGAATCTACACACAGGTGCAACTCTCCTTCTCTGCAGCCGTCCAGCTAAGCCTTTGTTGAATGGCCAGTAACCTTTTGGATACATGTTGAGACAAATATTTTGGTGGTGCAGTGTAAAGCGTCGAAAGAAACTTGGATGACAGACCATAGAAGTGTTAGTTTTTATACTTTTTGTCATTATGTAACTTTTGATTCAGATTTTTAATTGGCTAAGTGATGATGTCAATCAATTCTGTGGATTCTTTTGATCTATTTTTAGCTGCAGATTAAAGAAATGACCAACTCTGGCTTCAAAGGGTTTGGTCCAGTTCAAACAAAATTCCTTATTTTGGCCTTTATTTGTGAAATAAAAGTTCTTTTCCTATTCAGATTTTACAAACGTTAATTTTCCAAATTTTAGAAAGTTGTTTTGCCATTGAAAAGTGATTTTGTAATTTATTGTTAATTTTTTGGTTCTATTTTTGTTTGATTTTGAAAAAAAAAAAAAAATTCTAAAAATCTGTTGAATTTTTTACTTTTTTTAATTGAAATGAATTTTTGGCATCTTAACCTTTCCAAAACACTTTATTTCATCTCAAAATTGCAAAAAATAAGGATTTTACAGCATTTTAAAGTTTTTATGACATCTTGATTTTGCCTTTGGCAGATGGTGTAAAGGGGGTGTTGAATATACAGGTAAATAAGCCAAAAGTTTATTCAAGACCCCCATAAAGTTAAATTTTGTGTATTGTAGTATGACTGTAGAATTTTTTAATGCAATTCTGAAAACTGTAGGTTGAGTTTTGAAATTTTCATTGATTTTTTTAAATATTCTGGTTTGGAATTTTCGTGATTTGAAATGAATTTAGAAAAATAACCTTAGTTACACAATAATGCGTTCTAATTTTGGAAAATTTTATCAATGATTAAATTTTATCAATGTTTCTACTTTAACAAACACTTTAGTTTTTCGTAAAAATTGCACTAATAAAAAAGTTATGAGCGTTTGAATAAAGATGGTATTTTGAGGAAATTGAAAATTCCATACCAGAAAAATGATAAAATTTGGGTGTGAAGGTAGGGGTGCAAGAAATGCATTTGCTGGTGCATGCATTGTCTGATTGGTCTGAAATTTGGTATGTAGTCTTGATATATATTAAAGTTAATGTATGTAAAATTTTATTTCATTTGGACTACTGGAAGGGTCCTATTAGGTCCGAGGACACAGTTATCTACCTTCAATTTTCGTTGTCCACAAATGTAGTTCCCTTTAATTTCAGTGTTTTTTTTCTTATTTTTTTTCTTTGTCTTTTTTTGGAATTTTTCATTATTTGTTTGCATTTAGGTGAAAGATAAGACTTCAAATATACTGTCTGGAAAAAATCTTTTTGAAATTTTCCGTAGAAATGAGTGATTTGGTCAGGTAAATAAAGGTGGAATTTCCTCTTCTCGGAAGCTCTCTGGCTTCATCCTTACCGGTGTCCTTATGTTTGGGGTTACCAGAAGAGAATGAGCTGGTAGACTTTTCTGAATTTTTGATATGTTTTGGGATAAAAGTCAAACTTTATGCACACCAAATCTTTTTAGAATAGAGCAGGTGGAATTTTTTTTAATTGCCATTATGTTTTAATAGACAAATAGGGGAAAATAACTGTGTTCTCGGGCCTAAGAGGCTGAACCCACTGTACCCCAAAATGGACATTTTGGTCCCCTGATTTGCACAATTTGCCTCAAAATTGAAATGTAAAGATATTTCATTGTTAATTTATAGTAAATAATTGGAAAATATTTTTAAATGCCAAAAAAATCCTATTTTGCCATATTTTTGGATTGTTATTTATATGTTGAAACTTTTGGGGCAAATCTCAAAACAGGGGCTCATAATTTTTCTATTTTGAGCAAATTCCTACTCATTCTGATAAGAAATAGTACTTTAAAGTTTAAATGGAGGGATTTATTCAAAAATACTTAGCAAAATTACAAGAAAAATCTGCCCCTGGCCAAAATGGGCACTGTCTGATTTGGACAGGGACTTGTACGCCTAATGGCAAATATGGGGTGATAAATTTCAAGCATCCCAATGCCGGCGGGTGGAGACAAATACATGTGCACAGACTTGCGTACATGATAAGGCATCTAAATTTTCATTTACCTAATTTTGATGTCTCGCATCTGTGCCACAACTCAAAATGCATTAATGTTGATCATCTGGTGTTGGAGCCACACGGCTTCAACAACAGTAGAAAAACTTGCATTTCATGTGGCCATTGCTTGGGTCACCCAGCTCCATTGCCACCTTGCAAGTTGGACTTAAAGATGGCAAACAATAACCTTGGTATTATTCATGTTTTAGGATTTACAAATTAAATATTTACTTTATTTTATTTTATTGATGTAAACAACAATTTCAGATATCTTTTTGAAAGATTTGGGTGGTCCTTAAAAGGACCTTTGGTTGAGTTACTGTGTTGCTGGGTTGCTGTCTCATCTATGGTGCTGGTGGTAGTTTTCTCTTGCAGTAGGTACTATGGCTAAGTAAGGCAGGCACTGGGTCCAACTGCCCTTTTCTGTAGACATCGCGCTCTTTACTTTTTACCTTGGCCTCTCTATGTTCTACTATTTTTTCACCACTCTGTGTGAGACGTCTACGTTTAACTTCAGGTTTTTTTTCATACTCTCGCTTGTAGGTAAACTGTTTATCCATACTGTCGAGGAACTTTAAACTGGAATCAGATAAATTAACCCCCAGATGTTCACACTTTTGCTTTGCTGAGGTTCCTGGCATGTTGTTGTTTCTGTGAATTCCAGATGCTAATCTGGCCTCCATGCCTCTTGAGAAGATTACATTCTTGGGTAAATTCACACTCAAGGATCTGTGCACAGCTTCATTCTTGTTTGTTGTGTTGTAAAGCTTCATACTACTAATCGCATCTTCACTAAGCTTCATTTTCAAGATCTCTTGCAGTAACAACTTGTCTTTTTCGTCCATTTGCAGGATAGTAATGTTATAGCAGCCAAGATACTTGGAGCGGGTCCACCAGTTGTAGCTCTCATCACCTGCACATACCACTGAGTGCTGTTTACACATGGAGCAGTCACCATCATAACACCTGATTGTCGCCTGCAGAGCCTTGGGTAAGTCTTTACATACGTCATCTGTATTTCTTTTGTACTGTTCCATTAGCTGTCCCACTATCATCGAACTCCTACATTTGACATCTTGACTAAAAGCTTTCTTCATTTCTTTCTTTATCTCTTTTGTACGCCCATAGAACATGCCTTCGCTGAACTGAGCTCTCAGGGATGCTCGGAACTGTGACTGGCCAAGGTGGACATAGTCAGCTAGCCTTTCGACCTTCCACATGGGATGTAGGGCTCTGGTTGCGTCATCTATCCCTTTGGCAGCCCGTCCGTCTCCATCTGTTGTGGCATTCTTTACAAGGATGTCTTGAAGTGCCAGCTGTGAACCAATTTCTTTACCCATCTGGTACTCTGACACTGGAGCTGCTCTGTATAAGTTTGCAGTGCAGTCTTCGTGGCCATTGGGACAATTAACATCGAAACCTTTCCCCCTCAGCCAGGCTCCTTTCCAGCACATCTGATTTTGGGCAAATGATGCAACAATATATTGCCTCTCTGTCATTTTCTCAATGGCAAGTGTGAAAGCTTGGGTGGCATTCAGTCCCGGTTTCTTGCGGCTGGTAATGGTCTGACTGTTGTACCTTCCGTCGACTGTAACATTAATCACATTTTCTGGTAGCCCCCTCTCTCGATTTACTGACTTAACAATCTCAAGTTTTTCTGACATGTCTGTCCTGTTAAGTTTTACTAGCTCCTTTCCAACATTATGTGACATTCTCTGCATGCTTGTTCTGGATGGAGGAGGACAGTTCATTCTAGCAAACAGCTCCTGGAACTTTGTACTACCAATGGGACAGTCATGTAGGACTGCAGCTACTGCAACATTGGGTGCTCCAGGGTTGGTACCAGGTTTATTGGTGACAACTTCTTTGTATAACTTTATAACTGGGCTCATGTAGGTGCAGTTCTTACATCTAAGGGTATATTTCCAGCAAACTCCCCATTTAACTTGTCTGTGTGCCAGTATTTCTGGATTTTTGCAGTACTTGAATTCTTTTGTGTGAGCCTTTATAACAATGTTCAGCATCTTCATCATCTCTTCATGATCGACGAACCTCATACCAGAAAGTGAACTCCAATCTTCTTCTTCTGTTTTCAGGTCATAGGATGATACCAGTAGCTGGGAACGAGTCTTTATGCCATCATTGTGTACAGCTGAAGTAGAAGTGATTGTAGGTTCATCTTTAATGTCCTTCTGTTCAACATTCATTTCAACAACAGGAGCATTATTGATATCTTGGTCTGGTGTAGTGGACAACTCTAGTACAGGGACAGGAACAGGAACATTCCATGGAATTCTGCCATTCTGGAATCTACACACAGGTGCAACTCTCCTTCTCTGCAGCCGTCCAGCTAAGCCTTTGTTGAATGGCCAGTAACCTTTTGGATACATGTTGAGACAAATATTTTGGTGGTGCAGTGTAAAGCGTCGAAAGAAACTTGGATGACAGACCATAGAAGTGTTAGTTTTTATACTTTTTGTCATTATGTAACTTTTGATTCAGATTTTTAATTGGCTAAGTGATGATGTCAATCAATTCTGTGGATTCTTTTGATCTATTTTTAGCTGCAGATTAAAGAAATGACCAACTCTGGCTTCAAAGGGTTTGGTCCAGTTCAAACAAAATTCCTTATTTTGGCCTTTATTTGTGAAATAAAAGTTCTTTTCCTATTCAGATTTTACAAACGTTAATTTTCCAAATTTTAGAAAGTTGTTTTGCCATTGAAAAGTGATTTTGTAATTTATTGTTAATTTTTTGGTTCTATTTTTGTTTGATTTTGAAAAAAAAAAAAAAATTCTAAAAATCTGTTGAATTTTTTACTTTTTTTAATTGAAATGAATTTTTGGCATCTTAACCTTTCCAAAACACTTTATTTCATCTCAAAATTGCAAAAAATAAGGATTTTACAGCATTTTAAAGTTTTTATGACATCTTGATTTTGCCTTTGGCAGATGGTGTAAAGGGGGTGTTGAATATACAGGTAAATAAGCCAAAAGTTTATTCAAGACCCCCATAAAGTTAAATTTTGTGTATTGTAGTATGACTGTAGAATTTTTTAATGCAATTCTGAAAACTGTAGGTTGAGTTTTGAAATTTTCATTGATTTTTTTAAATATTCTGGTTTGGAATTTTCGTGATTTGAAATGAATTTAGAAAAATAACCTTAGTTACACAATAATGCGTTCTAATTTTGGAAAATTTTATCAATGATTAAATTTTATCAATGTTTCTACTTTAACAAACACTTTAGTTTTTCGTAAAAATTGCACTAATAAAAAAGTTATGAGCGTTTGAATAAAGATGGTATTTTGAGGAAATTGAAAATTCCATACCAGAAAAATGATAAAATTTGGGTGTGAAGGTAGGGGTGCAAGAAATGCATTTGCTGGTGCATGCATTGTCTGATTGGTCTGAAATTTGGTATGTAGTCTTGATATATATTAAAGTTAATGTATGTAAAATTTTATTTCATTTGGACTACTGGAAGGGTCCTATTAGGTCCGAGGACACAGTTATCTACCTTCAATTTTCGTTGTCCACAAATGTAGTTCCCTTTAATTTCAGTGTTTTTTTTCTTATTTTTTTTCTTTGTCTTTTTTTGGAATTTTTCATTATTTGTTTGCATTTAGGTGAAAGATAAGACTTCAAATATACTGTCTGGAAAAAATCTTTTTGAAATTTTCCGTAGAAATGAGTGATTTGGTCAGGTAAATAAAGGTGGAATTTCCTCTTCTCGGAAGCTCTCTGGCTTCATCCTTACCGGTGTCCTTATGTTTGGGGTTACCAGGAGAGAATGAGCTGGTAGACTTTTCTGAATTTTTGATATGTTTTGGGATAAAAGTCAAACTTTATGCACACCAAATCTTTTTAGAATAGAGCAGGTGGAATTTTTTTTAATTGCCATTATGTTTTAATAGACAAATAGGGGAAAATAACTGTGTTCTCGGGCCACTTGAATGGAATACACAGTGCTTTCGGTTATAATCAGCAGAACACTGTAAGGTAATAATAAGAATAAAATGTATAGGAATAAAATGCACGAGAATGTGCTTTAACTTCCAAGAATATTAATCATTAAAACTTTACTGCTTGCCTCCGTATGTGTGAGGGTCTGGATGGGGCTACAGAATAGAGAATAATGGACAAAAAGTACAGAATAAAGGGCAAAAAAAAAAAAATCAAAAAAAATCGAGAAAATGGACGAAAGATTAAATTATTGAGAATAATGGGCTACTATATTATATGAAAAGAGAGAATAATGGACAAAATATATATTTAGAATAGAGAATAATTGTCATAAAAAAATTGTCATTAAAGAATAAAGAGATGAAACACCCAATCCTTACAGATATGTCTGTGTCTAGATCAAGTAGGGTTTGATTCACCTTATCTAATTTCTGATACATGTGTTAACATCATCTGCATTTACAATATTTCGTGTTATAAATGTAATTAGTTTAGCATAAATTAAGTTTTATAATAAATAAAAAAGATAAGTAGAAATTTGCATTTACAATATTTCGTTTTATAAACGTATTTAGTTTGGCATATATTAAGTTTTATAATGAATAAAAAAAGATAAGTAAAAAATTGAATTCCCATTGATTAAAATTTTATCATTTTGATATTTTTTTGCAAATTCGGCAACATTTACTTTTATGTGAAATAGAACAATTTTTAAAAAATCATTTAAGTAGCGCAAACTCTATGTTTATACTTTGTCTGAGTTGGCATTGTAGAAGGTTCGAGTTGACATAACAGAAGATCCGAGTTAACTTTATAGCCGGTCCGTGTTGACTTATTAGGCGGTCCGAGTTGTCTCCTCGCCGAATTGTCCCATATTCCCCGATACTAGTAGCAAAAACTCCTGTGTTCGATTATTGGTATGGTACAAGCAACAATAAGAAAGTTACAAATATGAGTTTTATTAATTATTTATTGAACATACATGCTGAAAAACTGCTTTGGAAAGATTATGCCGACTTCACTGTGTTAGATTCATGCGCGATACACATGAATATAATCCTGTGGTTCCAAAAAAGTTAAAATTGAAAGAAAAAAATGTTTGAGCTGTCAATTATAAGATAATAAACATTCATGTACTCGTACTAGGAACAACAAATTTATTTTGTAAAAGATGTTTCGGTACTCCTAACAACAAAATTATTATATTTAAATTTACATTTGTACGTTATTTTATTTACCGCAATTTTGTCCTAGGTTAAAGTTGTCTTTTTGACATTGATACATCTTTTTTATTTATATTGTGTCATAGATCAAACTTATTCGTTCAGTGTATATTTACTTGTTTGTGAATATGTATTTTTGATCGAGTTAAGCCATTGCAATTGATATTTTATTGTGTGTCTTTTTATGTTGTAATGTTACACCACTGTTTCAGGTTAGAGTGAAGGTTGGCGCCTGTTAAAACGTTTAAACCCGCTGCATTTTAATGCACCTGTCATAAGTCAGGAGCCTGTTGTACAGTGGTTGTCGTTTGTTGGTGTGGTTCATAAGTGTTTCTCGTTTCTATTTTTTTTAATATAAATTAGATCGTTGGTTTTCCTGTTTGAATTGTTTTACACTAGTCGTTTTTGGCCCTTTATAGCTTGCTGTTCGGTGTGAGCCAAGGCTCCATGTTGAAGCCGTACTTTGACCTACAATTGTTTACTTTTTACACAGTGTGACTTGGATGGATATTTGTCTCAATGGCACTCATACCACATCTTCTTATTTATATATGATATCCTTTAATCCGATAAAAAGTAAAAATAGGCTGACAAAACCAGAAGCCATTTTTACAAATACTTATACCGAGCAAAACCCTTATTACGTTAGGATATTTACCGACCGTGCAAGACCCTCAAGTAGGTAAACATCCCGATGGTAATTTAGCGCAACTTACCATCAATTTTAGCCACAGGTTGTTTCGTAAAAACATGCACGGTTTACCATAATTGTTTCGATATAAATGTTTTATTAATGAGTTGCTTTCATTAATGTAATACAATTAATGTATTCGTGTAAAAATGATATTCCCTGTGCGACTATAATAAAGTTTATGCTCGTTTATACATAATGGTTCTGGACTGATTTGCGTATTTGTTTAAGTATTTTGTTTGCTAACATGGTCCAATGTTTAGGGAATTAGAAGGGATAGAAAACACTAATTAGTCTTTTTGGTCAGGGATAATAAATTAAAAGGTTTGAATAAATGATTGAAAACCTGCAGGTACGTACACTCGACAAAAGAAATTGTAAAAATTAAACGTTAGACCGACCTTGATTTCAATTTCCGTTATATTTTTATGCATAACAAAGCCTGTTCCTGTTTTGTGAAGTTTTAGGACGAAGCCAAGTCTTTTTATTTTTAAATGAAACATTCCTTCGTTCCATGTGTTTAATACAACATGCAAGCTTCTGTTCATTTCATTCCATGTAATGTGAGCCAAATTCAGGTGGTGGTCGTTCTGATCGTCGTCTTGCAGTTTATGGTTTCTTAGTTCTCAATTTATTTAGGACGATTGTGTAAAATGTTATATCCCATACCCGAAATTATTTGAATATTCATTTGTTTTACAATTTTTTAATTATCTACAAACAAGTAAATAGAAAGTTTATGTGTTGCTTTCGTTTGATGGTCCGCAATCGTACCGGCAATTGGATATTTACGAAATGGAAGCAATTTTTGCCGGGGTGGTTTGGATATAGTGTTAACCACGAGGTATTCTCAGTATATAAGATGTTTCATAAAATAACAAGATATAACATGATGAATCGAGTGTCCCGACCTGCTCATATGTGTATTTATTTTGTCTTTTGTCTTCCTTTTTTTTTTAAATCTATAATGCATAATAATTCGATTTTGTTGCACTAAACTCTATTTCATTAATACAAATTTATTCATGAGAAACCATAGCATTAAATATTCTGATATTCAAAAAATTTTAATATCCATGAATCCAAAGTTATTGTTTAAAATATTAATATCCTCAAAATTTTTTTGGATAGTTATATAAGTATGCTTGTCTGGACTTCTTCTGTTCGCAGATTAACCAATGCTAATGTGGGCTGTCGTTTGTCATTTGTAGATTTTTAAGTATACACCGTCTTATATAATACATGTATAAAGCATGTTGATAATAAATATAGTGGAAAGTTAGCTTTCATGAATTAGGGAACTACCATTTGATATTTATGGGGAAGGATCTAGGATGAAATTTGAAAAAAAGGCAGGACAGGAGTTTTGAGTAAAAAAAAAAGGCAGGATGACAATTTATGTAAAAAAAGTCAGGATAAACTAATAACAAAAAAGGCAGGACCGATCAGAGTGAAAAATAAAAAGGTAGGACAGAGATTACAACTAAAAAAAAAAAAAAAAATTTCATCCTAGCACCCCCCCCCCCCCCCCCCCCCCCTAAAAATCAAATGGTAGCTCCCTTATAAAACATCCAAATGTCTGTAATTTGAAGCTAACATACGCGCATGTCTTTTTACTTTATCGTCTGTTTGTCTTTTTTTTTTTATGTTATGCCTTTCCTTTTTTTTTACTTCTTTTACGGCCAAGATAGGAACATATATCAACCGCTCTAGAGGTCGAACAATGACATGACTTTACCAAGGATGTCATTAATTACTTTTTGTTTATTGGTAGGTGTTTCTTAGTCTTTCAAAATGGTTTATCAAAACTTTAAAAATCTGCCAAAAGTAATTACGTGTATTCGGAGAGCTCCTTGCAACACTTGAAAGAGCGGACCAACTGTTTAGGATAATTTTAGACGTTTTGGGACAAAAAGGTTAAAACTATAATATCATTACTGAATAATTATTTAGGGGAACGACCATTTAACTTCAAAGAGAGGGGGGGTATGTTTTTTTTTTTTGTGGAAATGCAAAAAATTATTAAAAGGCGTTATATAACTTTGAATTTCCTCAGCAATCTTAAGAAACACCATATAACCACGCATTTATTGGAAAAGAAGGAATGTTGTGAATAAACTCACGACACAAAAATCCCTACACTGAACTAAACCCTATGCAAAGTAATAATATTTCTTTACTTTTCTTAATATTCTTGATGACGACCAAAGTCAAATTTGGAGCTTCGACACGGAGCAAAAGCTCTTACTGTACTGCCAGTTCAATGGGATCTATAGCATCGGTTTGAACGAAATTCTTTACAATGGATGTCGATATTTATGCATGTCCATTGAAAACAGATAAAAGACTTGTCTCGTAAGTCTTTAAGAATATAGTATAAAAACAGGAAAAGACATATACCCCAAAGGGGCAATTCAAATTCAGAAGTCGGAAATAAATAGAAAACACAATCATAAAAAGAAAAGACGACTAAAATACAAAAGGGTCTGGTGTCATATATTTCTGTATTCTTTAATTTTTTATGCTATTTTTCTCTATTCTTTATATTTTAGCCCATTATTCTCTAACCTTTATATTTTGGCACCTCATTGTTCTCTATTCTTTATTTTTTGGTCCATTTTTCTCTATAGAAAATGAAAGGATATGAAGTAAATGTACATGGGACAAAATCGCACACAATACATAGAAAACAGAAAATTATCAATGAACAGGGCTTTTATTCCTGTTATATTTATTGTTCATTATTCTCTATTCTGTAAACCCCCATCCACACTCACATACATTAACAGTCCACAAAACATTACTCAGAAAACTAGATTAAGAAACACGAGCCATGTGCGAATCAAATGCTTAAATATTACCTCTTCAGCTGTCATAATTAGAATATGGTCAGCAAGCGTAATGGGCGCATTTGCGTCAATTTTGGAAAAATGCACTGTATTTCATTTGCGCCAAAAATAAATACTGCTTTTGCGCCAATTCACAGGTAAAATATAACGGAGAAATTTTGATATTAGTTCAGAAATGTGAGTATTTCTCTCCCAAAATCGCGAAGATGTACCCCAAAAAGTTGCAAAGCCAGAATCACAATAGATGTGGACAAAGCGTAATTCATTGCCAGTCCCACACAAAATATGTGCTTTGTGACATTTTATTTATACTTGAGATTTGCTAATCTGCAGATGTGAAAGGTACCCAATACTGCTTGATTTTTAGCGTCATATATATATATATATTGTAAATTGATGATAAAAAAAAATGAACATTTATTCTATGATCACGTCAGTTTTTCTCAAGGTTGAATTGTTAAGCTATGGAATAGATTATATGAAAACTGATGGGAGGATATCAAGTGCTGTTCCGTGAGCGTAAATTGTTATTTAAACAGTTCAATTGTTTAGCTTATTTTTTAACTTGAAATTGCAATAAGTCATTAGATATTTATTTTTCCTGCAAACAAAAGATAATTTTCAGAATATGCCAATATTGATTAAATCTCTATATGGTTAATGATTATCAACAAAAAGTTTGATGAAGCAGAAACAAGGTCAAATTTACTTTTTTTAAAAGCTGAATATTCATATTAAAACAGAAAAAAGCTAATTGCAAAAAAAAAAAAACGGTATAAGTTTGTAATTCTTGCAGAATGTCGTGTTTTTGTTTTGTTTTGATGTGACGTAGTGTATACACTAACTGAACTTGTAGATGATCATTGTATATTTACATTCTCCGAAGAGGAATAACTTATTTCATAATGTATAAAAATATTCCATAAAAGGAATTGAAGATCTGAGAAAAATGTATAAAAAGGAAAAAAAAAAAAAAAAAAAAAAAAATTACTGAAGCAAGTTTTTAGATTTAAACGGGAAAATACTATTCAAAAATGAGGGTGCATGACAGAACTGGTGACAAGAACTAACAGTAAAAGGAATTATATTTAGTGAAGGTCAAAATACAATTAAAAATTGAAGGTGATCTCGGTAAAGTGATTGTGTTCGTATCGATGTTAGCTTTGGAGTAAATTGACCGTTGTGTCCGTTAGTTCAAATGTGACCACTCTTTGTCCGTCCAAAAATCAGGATGAACTTTAATGAAATTGTCAGGAATTATTTAGAACCAAATTGCATTGTGCAGCCCTTTTTCTTTATTTGCCGAACAAGTTTTTGGACTTCTCAAATAGCCAAAATGTACCTTGTAATATATATTTATGTAAACGGGGGAATCCTCTGTTATTCTAGCTTATAGTTGTCTTATGTTGGCACTAAAAAGTCATAAACTTAAATCATTACATATTTCAAAACTGTACTTTTGTCTTTCTTCAAATTTCTATTAAAATCCCGTAAATTTACAATGTTTTTGGCTTACATGCATATTTATACTTACTGCAAACAACTGTGAAAGACTTATTGACAATCCACATACGACTGATTCTGGGACTAATACATTATTTTTATTCTCCAAATTGGAAAAATATGTAAAAATAACGATAAACATTGCGAGAAACTCGACTCCAAATGCACGAACGTTATCAACGTTTTTATGAACTTTAGTCACGCCGAGGTCATGCCGAATTTCACTTGGTATAATTCCATATAAAATTGCTGCACCGCAGATAGATCCAATTATTTGGACCAGGATGTAAAAAAGTCCTCTCAAAAGTGATATATATCGTGTACAAAGTAACGAAATTGTCACAGCTGGGTTAAAATGTCCTCCACTTGTCGGTCCTAAAGTTTTCACAAGTATTGAGTACGAAATTCCAAAAGACAAAACAGATGCAAAAAGTTTTACAACGGTGTCATTCGTCCAATTTGTTGTGCATCCGCAACCAAATATAACATACAAAATACTGCCGAAAAATTCAGCTCTTAACGATTTCCATAGCTGTTTAGAATATAGTTCTTCTTTCGCTTTCTTTAGCCAATCTTTAATTCCCATCTTCATCTACTATCTTCATCGAAAGCTTTGTAGAAAATCAGCTATTGATTGAAGCTTGCATGTTTTATATAGCTATATATTAGGTATAAATCTAATAACAGCAATTCTGTTAGGAAAAAGGGATAATAGAGAGAAATTGATGTTAAACAATAATCATATTTTCTTTTATTTCAATAATTATATCACTTATTAGAACTTTAAGAAAAGTCAAGAAGCATCAAGAGAATGTTAAGCCTTGTATTTGAAGAGATAGTGATTTTATAGTCGCTATAATCACTACGAAGCCTAATAAAGAATTGATTGGAAATTGATATTCTAATGTTAATTTCTTTTCAAATGTCAATAGGTGTCAAGCATTAATTACATTTGTGAAGATTGTGATTTGTTCTTTAGAATTGAATAATCATTTATTACATTTGTGAAGTTTTGTTATATGTTCTTCAAATGGAAATAACACTTTATAAAAAAATGAAAATCTAAATTTATCATAATAGCATTTTACCACCTAGTACAAAGAATTTTTTTTCATCTCTTTGGCAGGGAATATAATTGTTCAAATTTACAGCGAACATTAATGTTTTCACATATAATATGATTAGTCAACCATTTTCTTTTTCAATATGGAAAGCTAATTATCAGAGAGAAAGATTTGTTTTTATTTTTATGTACTTGCATATGGATACTTGAAACTTGTTTCATTTAGTCATTTTTTACATTTATCAATAACTTTGCAGGTTTAACTTGTCGTTCATTTTTTATCTATCTATGATATTTACTTTATAGCATATATGCGCTTACCCCGCATATAACACGCATCATTTAATTAATGACGTTTGTCCTCCTAATAATTTTTGCAAATTTTTTTGGAAGGCAACTGAAAAACAATATTAGAAATATGACTTTAACGCCCGCCAAGATGTTTAATGCACAGAATCGTTTAAATGCTATGATCTGCTTGAAGCCAAATGCTGTAAACTTAGAAATTTTTTTTCAGTCACATTTAATCAATAAAATCACAAAAGTTGTATGGCAACCATCATGGTTTTGTTGACCTTTTCACTGTGAGTTTCTTCAAAATGACTGGAAACATACTTTATGTACATGTAGTCATTTGGACTTTGGTGGATAGTTGTCTCATTGGCATTCATACCACAGCTTCTTACTTTTATATGTAGTACCCGAATGAGTCTCGTTTTCAAACTGGAAGGCGTTTGCTACTGGACGTTTAATAAACTACATACAATATATCGGCCTATATCGGGAAAAACCACTTACCGATATTCAGCGATGCTGAGCTTGATGCTTCATATTTTACTGTTTTAGGTCACCTGTCTGTCAGATTTCCTTAAGAAGGATTATTATTCTTCGGTTTAGTGTGTTTTATTTTTAGTTAATTATTGTCCAATTCAGCCTCAGTGTGCGAGTGAATATTTTTGCACTTGCATATATCTGGAACCAAAACGAATTAGTTTGTGTCGAAAAGGTGTTGTAACATGTCTTTTTTAAATCCCCTATAGATTTTTGGTTTTGTTTTTATTATTCTTTTGATTAGTTTCCCTTTTTTACTCGAAATTTACCAAATTGTAACAAAATTAAAGTCTGAAGCATTTATAATTGTATAACACATTACGTTGTAAAAAAATTGGAGCTGATACAAAATGCACACATGTGAAGTTGTACGTTATACAGTGAAATTGAAAAAAATTACGTTACCTTATTGCCTTTGTGTAAGAAAAATCATGTTAAATTTTACTGGCTAAATACTGCTGACTACTAAAATTCTAGTATTCAGCAGTATTTAGCCATACTAGTGGGCTAGTCTATACAGTTTCAATTTTGTTAGAAATGGATTATATTTTCTCTGATTTTTAAATGCTGCCCCCTTACAAAGAATGTAAATATATATATGGAAGTTTTTAACGACCTTGACTGGCTATACAGCCCTTGCACGGTCGGTAAATATTAATGGGCCCCTTTGTTCGCCTTTTAAAAAAATTTATTGTAAACGTCACTGATTAAAATGAAACTAGTTGGTGCTATAGAGGTTTTCGCGTGCTAGCTATTGAGCTCGAGGTTATCGTTGAGGACCTGTCAGCAAGTTTCGAAATGAAGAATAGCAATATGGGGCTGTTCTTTGCTATATTCGTTATTCTTTGATATTTCATTTTTTTTTGTCTTGTGTATACATTTATCTTCCAGTTTCTTTATTTTCCAATAGTGAAAATACACTACATTTTCTATTTAGAAAAAAAAAATCCTAGACTGTTTCCGCAATTATAAGGGACAATTATTGCACATAGTCGTCTTAAAAACGTCAATAAAATCAGATTTTAATTGTCTAAGATACTAGTAGTAAAAAACCGTATTACAAAAGAAAGTCTAGGTATATCAAAATCAGATGGTTTGATCTATTTTATCGCGTTCATTTTAATAAGAATTAAAGCGTTATATTTCTTGATATCGTTTTATATATCACTAGAGTAATATAAAGTATTTCTGTCCTAAAGAAAATCATTAAATACAACGTTACCGGATAAATACAATTTAACATAAAATATTTAGCGATACGTCTAGACAATTAAGAAAGCTGTTGTTCACGTACCACAGAAGTTTATGTATGGTTTCTAGAATTAATTGTACCCTTGGTAGCCTAGATTTATTTAATGTTTACAGAAAAGAATAGCAGATTGGTCGATTATTGATTCTTGTTTGCTTAAACGTCCAGTTACAAATATTTCGTGCATATTCAGGGCGAGATCAAATCAATAATAAATCTAATTGAATGGTTTTGCAAATTGGTTCGACCGGGAAAAAGGGCTTGAAATTTGAACCGCTACTGGAAAATGAGGATATGTTGGATTATGGAATACATTTTCCTTGCAAAAGGCCTTCTACGCAAGGACTCGTTGATGTGCAGAGAGAATGACACTCTCTCTACACGAGGTATCGGATTTAACTTCCACATTTCGACCGGACTACTTATTTATACATCCCACACAGCGAAAGTGTGCCACGGATTTTATTGCCGGATAGGAGAAGTTCAGATGACCATATTACAATACACCAATCAACTATTTTTGAAAGAAAAAAGAAAGAATAAGGAGAAAAAGAAACAAAAGAAGAAAAGTATTCAAAGGTTTTTCATGTATAAGTTGCACACGCATAGACAATGTTAAAAGAAAATTGTAATGTATACTTCTATAAAGTAATTTTTTTGGTATGCAACGCATAAACTGGCGAAAAATAAAAATATGAAATGCTGGTTTATGAACTGTTTTCCCTTCCAGTGCCACTTATTTCATCCCGGCATAAGGTGGAGTTCGTGTCGCTCAGCCCTTGCTTTTTTGACGCTGTGTTGACGGCTGTTTGTCTATTCATTTTTTTCTTTTTGCAAGCGTTTGTCTGTCTTTCTTCGACTAATGATTTTTTATAGGCGTATTTACACTTGTATGAAACTTATCCAATATTACTTAAAATCAAAAATGATTCTGTAAAATTTTTAGTAACAATTTAAAACATTTGTCGTCATAATTAAAGTGATTGTTCAACTTGCATGATGCTAGAAGATTATTCGGAGACAGATCTAGGGTCATTCAGAGCAAATTCAGCCGAGTACACAAAAGTGTAAATACGTCTATTGTCTCTTCGTTTCTTCGGCAAAAACACACATGAATTTTTATACATTGTCATGATACCACAGAGATTGTAACACATACTTAAAAGGAGAATAACAGTTACTGTCTATCTTTTAAGATCAAATTTTATTAACTTATTGCTCTAATTAAACACTCGTCAACAATAATATAGTACTTCCGATTGATTACCGTTTAACGAATAAAAAAGAGGTTAATATTCATTCGTTGTCCCAAATATGTAAGAACTATTTGCCGTTTTACGTAACTACAACATATCAAAGAATTGATAAATTAATGAATTTATATAAATTCAGAAATATTTTTTTTTCATATTGCATCAATGCTATTTACGAAGTGAAGTGGAACATTTCATGATTTTCTTCATTAAAAGAAGCAATGTCAATTAATGTCAGATAAACGTTAATGTTATATTAACTTTTCAAGGTTGTTTTGGAACGTATTATCTATTTCCAACCATTGTTTCTAGAAAACAGATAAATGAAATGGGATGGATTTTCCCAGGAGAGATATAATGGTGATTTCTTTCATGCATGCAATCACCAAGACGGAGAAATGCGATGTAAAATAGGTTCAAAAGATAATTACAAAGTGATGTTTCTAGTGCAATTGAGGTTTCCTATTCTTGAATTGGAATTAATACTACTCAATAAAATGCTTGTTTCAGTAGTTAGGTTTATCATATTTCATCTACATATTACCTGCTTAAATACAATATCGTTCTTGTATAACTATCTCCTTGTATTCATTTTATGGACACAACTGACTTTCACTACTATTTTTTTAACCCTGTATATGAGGGTCTGGATCGAGAGGTTTTCATTCTTGTATTGTTTTAAAACTATTTTTCTCTATTCTTTATATCTTTGCCCATTATTCTTTATTCTTTATATTTTTGGTCATTTTTCTCTTCTTTTTTTTGCACCCGCTTTTTCTGCATTGTTTATTTTTTTCTCTCTATTCTTTATTGTTGGGTTAATTATTGGCTCTGCTTTATTATTTTGTCCATTATTGAATTCCAATCTTATTATGTAAACCCCATACAGATCCTCTTTTAAGCAACTAAAGCTAACGCTTAAATATTCTGTCCCTTGGAAAATTATGTAAACAAAAAACTAGATTGTCAAGGCTTTGATTGTAACCTCTTTCATTATGAAAAATGACTTGCTTCATTTTATTTTTTTTTAATCAATTTCATAGTTTCGGGTAAACCGAACAATCCAATCACTATAATCGCAAGTAAAGAGTATCAGAGAAGGAGATAACGTTTAATGTGCCTAATATAACCTTCATCACGTACGGTATTGACCGAAAGTTTGGAAGGCCAAACATAAGTTTATCTACAATATTTAAGTACTAGTAATAAAAGTAGTATTACTAATATGACGTTC